CAAAGTGTCTTGACTCAACATCCATGATGTCTCACCAAGATGCTATGGGTACATAAAATTGGAATCCAGCCGCTTTCGTAAGACGTCGCAGCGCGTCTTTTACATGGAAATTTCATCTTACTGATCAGAAATGAAGTCATCTTTGACTCACGTGAAGTGCACTTTTTATTCGAAAATGCACCTATTTTTTCACAGTGTTTTTGCAATATATATTGCATATGGTATAAGTATCTGAGTGGTTGTTATCATGAGATTAACAAAAACAAATAAATAGCATCGAGAAACATAAAATTTAGATATCGATAAAACAAGTAAAAATAATGAATCAATATGAGGTAATAAAACTTTAAAAAAGAAACGAATCTATGAGCAAATATCTTTTTCGGTCCATAATAATTCCCATTTATTATGCTTTCGTCGGATACAGTTGTCAGTTTTAGCAAGCAAAGTCTAGCTGCTGTCTCGCTTAAAAGTTACAGTGTTTTTGGAGAAGATTACTTTCGAAAAAAAGCGTCATTTTCTAAAACTGTGAAAGCTCCTCAATGAACTATCTGCTAGACTTCGCTTGCTTGTCACATTAAAGAAAAATGTTTAAGCTACAAAATAAGACATTCCATGAGTCTGTAGGTTACTTGCTTGAAAAGCTATGAATTTCAAAAAACCTTAAAGGCTCACGTTTTTTTGGCAGCGTTACGTAGACAGATCAGATACGAACCTTCTTTATGTCGAACTTTACGTATTTGAAAGAACGCTTTGATATTTCCTAACGATTTAAGCCAATATTAGAATAAAATAAATTAATTCGAAAGTTTCTTTATGTTGATCCTTTACATGAACTGATACAAAACTCTGAAGTTTTCTGGTAGGTATTTTGATGTTGAATCATAACAGTCTGACATAACAGAAATAGATTATATCGTCCAAAGCTTTTAAAAGACTGTTCCGATGAGGTTCCACCCGGTAAGCCATTGTTGAATGAGCTCGTGTATTGACACTTTAATTATTATAGTATGACACATATATTGTTCTTATGTTCGTTTTCACATTCACACAATTCAATTTCCGCCATCTGTTTCCCATCTACATGTGTTTTCCACGCAAATTTTGTTATTCTAAATACCGTGTAAGGTATAATGAGTACTTCTCGTTCGTATGAATGATCTGACATTGTCTCGATGTTCATTGCTGTTCCCTTATTGATTATTTCGTACTTACATATGACTGGTATTGCTTTACCACCAAAAGCAAACTCATATGCAAGATCTCTTGACTGAGAAGTAGATATGAATGTTTTTGTCATTACACGTTTATCCACCACATAGTTTCTTAGATCTTGTTCAGAACATTGCATCCCTCGATGAACGATACCTATGAACGTGTATTTGAGTTTTGGATGGCGTGCAATGATACCCGCGATTCTACCGTATTCTTTCGAATAATGCAGAAAAGGAGCATCAAATGAAACAAAATTAACATTAAGAATATTTTCCGTTGTTTTTGCTAAATCTTTGTTCAAACGTTTATAAAAGTCTGATTCGACTGTGTACGCACGAACAATGTATGTTGGATCATTCTCAATAATCGCCAGACGGAAGTACGTTAAGACGGTAGCCATAGCAGGTGTCAGGGCAAAACTTCGAAGGTAAGTCTCGATTATTACTTCAATTGAATATACATAATTATGACTCATGTCAACTAACTTTTGACGATATTTCATGGCTTTTTTAATTATATCCTCCGTGACAAACACCCAATCCAAATCATGAGCTTCGCTGGCGTTACTTAGAAAACGAGTCGATGACGGACAGCGAAATAATTGCTTGATTTCAATTTTAGAAGCTTCTTGATACGGCGTCATTTTGTAAACATTAATTACTGATCGACTAGCCTGATGTAATAATAATAGGCGAACAATCTCGGTGTGACCATTGTAAGTGGCCGCATGTAATGCCGTGCTGCCATTCGGTTCCAAACGATTAATCTCAGCAGACGTGAGTGTACGAAGAAACGTCCGAACAGTTTCAGTGTCTCCATTTCGACATGCAAGGTAAAAGTCGCTGCACGACGCCTGCTTGGATAACGACATTTAGGTACAGAATGTTTTTTTCTTGGAGAAAAAGTTTTTCTTTCTGCAAGGTAAACTCACGCGCATGTCTTTATATTAATACATACAGGTATATGAATCATGAGATACATTGACAATTTCCAAGAAGAGATTTGCATCATTTGTATGAAACAGAAGAAGTTGACTCATAATTGTATACGGCTTCTGCGTTAGTCGGAAATATCCCGCGTTTAGAGAAGTTTTATACACGAATAGGGGATTAAAAAGAAATCTTTTCTATCAGATATACTGCACACTGGAAATAGCTTGAGTATTTTACACTCTAAACCGATCTATACCGTCCATGTATTGCATACATTATTGGATGCCGAGTTCTAAGTATAATACAATGGACAAATTAACAATGAGAAATATAGCACTGTTAGCTTAGTGGTAAAATGAAAAGAGGTTTCGTCATGTTCAGATAAGGGTTGCCTTTATACGAAAGCTTCTGATTGTATGTATAGATCAGATGCAGTGGTAGCTCACGAGTTTCCACGATAATTACTGCTCTTCTGAACCTTTTTGTAGACGTGTTAAGTGAAACCAACAAAGTCATTCACACCAATATGGTCTCCTTAAAACAGTAACTTATCAACAAACTATTTTCAAATTTTTTTCAAAACTAGAATTATTTTATCTTAGAAAATTAGAAACAACTCTAATTGGATTAAAAAATTTTTATCCTGCGAGATCTTTTTCTTTTAATACGTATCATAATGAATGTAGCATAAGCCCGAATGATTCTTACTATTTTCTATGAAAATTTGACTCTCCTCGTGAATCAGTAATGAATACTTTTAGCTAAACAAATTAATTAGATAATGGACAAAATATACTTCCAATTACGCATAAAGTTTTTATTCAATCAAATATTGCAACTGGATGCAATAATTTTAGATGAACAAGGAAATATCGCGAGGAACATCCGAATTATCAAATAAATTCATCGAGCTTTTTCTGAGCTGAGTAAAACACTCTTCGAGTTAAAAATTTTATCGTGATATTTCTAATGTTTATCGCCACAAAAGAAAAAATTTTTTATTCTTATGTTTATTGTGATACTTACTGTTGACAGAATGTCGTAAAAATATTTTATCCGAATATAACTCGAGAGTTTTATTCAGAGTTATAAATATAACTTTTATATATAGCGATATTTTTGTCTACCTTGTCTAACATAAAATTATATTGTGGTACATATCGATACATTTTCTTCGTTTCTTGTCATTCTCGATATCTTCCTTCATAAATACCGACATATTTCAATATTTTACAATAGCTTTCGTACAATCCGATTTCTGTAGCTTAAGCATTCTTCTTTGAAATGAAACGCAACAAAGTTCAGTCGATAGTTTGCTTAAGGAATAAAAGGAAAGCCACTTCTTACAAATGATTGCATTCACTCATTTATCTATCATATTAGGCACTAAGCAACACAATAAAGGAAAAAATGTGGCATACATCTTTTAGAATTAAAACTTACAGATTATTGCCGACAAAATTTCTGAATTCACCGTGGCTTAAAGTTTCATCGCGATTAATATCAGCAAATTGAAAGGCTGCATCAACGCCTCCAGCTCCAGTTCCGTATGACGATGATGAATAACTTCTCGAGTCAATTAACCCTGTTGCATCGTATCCTCCTCCAAGTCCACCAGTTACGTTAATTCCTTCTAAATCATCGGATGAAGAATACGATGAAGATTCAAATAACCAAGGTAGTATTCAGAAAAGATTTGTACTTTGTTGGCAATCTCAATTTATTAGCATTATTTAGTTGATAATAGCTGGTGAGGCATTTATACCAGTCCCAGTGTTATACGAAACAGTTCTAAAACGAAGGGGGTGCGTCTCGGACAAAAAACTTTCGTTACACCCCCGCAATGTCCGACACCTACTCAGGTCCCTGGATATAGATTCGTATAACAAGAAAACAATTGCAGCATTACATTTAATAGTTATACCAGTTATGTATTTTTTAAAGGTAGGGGACCAAGAAAATGACAATTTCGTTTTTGTGGTAATTTTATGTGAATGTGCTTTATGAGGAACTAGATTCATAAGTCGATGAATTGAAACCAGCTTCACCAGCACCTAAGAATATACCACCAAAGGACATATTCAAAAGTAATACCACTTTTGCTAACACAGAGCGATCAAACATCCGAGACCTACAACTCACACAGTCACTTGGTGGTGCGCATTTTTCGGAGAGGTGCTTGCTTCCTTCCATAAGATGCAGAAGTGGGGAAACCACATGGAGACATGATTAATCGGCCCTCCTGATCATCACGATGATGTTTGTTTTCTCACTAAGTCCCTCTATATGTTGTAGGTCTCGAATGTGCGCTATTTTTAAGATTGATAACTTTCTTAAAGGTGACTCGGATGAGTTGAAAGTTCTAAATAAATTTTGTTTAAATTCTACAATGACTGTTAAAAACTATCCAACTCTTAAACTGAGATGCAACATGATTTCTGTCTTGATAGTTACAGAGTATCATACAATTGTAGTTTTAGTTAGACCAGTCAAGGAAACACATGTTACAAAAGACTGTATTATGAAAAAAATTTGACTGGAAGTGTAAGCTTATGTTTGATCATGGTGATTTGCTTCTCTCACCTTAAAAAGTAGGAGTTACTTCTCGGTTGTGTTCTGTATGATGTATTGTATTGAACTGTAGCTTTGGCGTGACCACATGAGCAGGTGCGCCGCTTAGTGGACGTCGCTGAAAAAGAAAAAGTGACATCTAACTGTCCGAAAGATTAGAACAGATTGTCTGATGTGCTCAAAAACTGGTCCTATCTCACAACTGATCAGCGCATTGAGTAACTATCTGAGGAAATAGAGTTTCACTTAAAACACATTTTGAGATCATTTATCGTTCATTGCAGAGAAGTTACTTAATAGTGTCATCAACGGCTCCTGATAAATACTCGTTCGACCCGCCATTGATGCAGTTTTTCGCGCTCTAAATCATCTATATTTTGACTACTCTCCATTTTCTTCGTGCAACATTTTCCTGGGTAATCGACGCTGATCGTATCATTTTCAGGGTATTCGACCTACAAACATGTTCGATTTAGAACTCAGAGACCCGTGGTGATATGGAAGCTGTAGAGCGTGGAAAACTGCAGCCTATGGTGGTTGAATGACCTATTCACCGATAGTCTTCAGTGACCGCAACCTGGCTGAATACCCCAAAATAGGCCATTTTCAAGGTATATCGCCTGCGAAATTTTTGGACAGGAAAATGAAGACCAGGCATGATACAGGGGTTACGGAGTGCAAAAAACTACGTCCGACACGGGTCCGCTGACTTCATTGTAAGAAGAATTCGGTGACACAAGGGTCACTAGAACGTCGCTCGGAACCGCAAAAACGAAATCGGGCAGCTCGATTGGTGCAACTTTCGGTACAATTTCGGTCAAAATACCACGATGCTCTTTTTTGTACATTTTTGTTGATTTTTCACGAAAATACCCCTCAGTAAATTGAATGCCGCCCCCTGAAAGTAAGTTGCAGATATGTCAATCTTGGTATCAAAAGATGCGCCGTCTCATTCTGCGTCGAACTGATAAATTCCCAGAGTGATCTGACCTGCAAATCAAGAAATTTGCCCGTGGGCCGATTTGTGGTCTTAAGCGCCCCGTCCTTTTCGTGGCATCATTGAATCTTTCTAAAACTCTACGCATTGCCAGCAAAACGTTCCAATCAACGCTTGTTAGTATCAAATCGATTAGTTTCCTTCTCTGCTTGACTGTGACACCATGGAGCGTCTCCAGATTATCATAAAATGATGCTAAAACATGCTGATAGAGGAGAAGCCGTTGAACCCTATGGTAAGTCGAATTCCAACGGACTTTCATATCTGGAGTCAATCCGACAGCAACGGAATCTTTTGCCAGATTGAGTAAAGTATCATTCAGGATGCTTGATTTGCGTATCATATTGATCATTTTTCGACACTTAGTCATAAGAACACCGATATCCTGCATATCCAATACCAAAGAATCTCCGTCATCTGATTCGGAAGAGTCATCAGCACTGCTAAGATCTCCAACGCCATTAGCATCTTCCTCTTTGTCCGATCCTTGATCACTGGAATTCTCACACGGTTGCAAATCAACGGTTGATTCATCGTCGAAGTTATCATCAGAAATAGTAGATCCACCGTCGCTGGAGTCGTCATCGACGGTTGTCGATGCAGCACCAGGGTTTGTCGCCATAGACTTCATTTTGGGCCAAAGATTAAGGGATTTCTGAACGACGAGATTGAGTCCATATGCAATACAATGCAAACGAACGCCAAAGATATCCATGTATTGAGCAGCCTTTCGAATGTCACTGCCATTGTCCGTGGTGGTTACATGTACCTTTGCCCTTTTCGAGACCAAACATTGTCAACACTGTGCGAATGTGTCGTCGAATACGCATAGCAAAACTTCTGCCGTAAAACTGCCGAAAACTCAACACAGTTCCACACTGCTCATAATTTGATGTTAGGAAGTGCGCTGTGATACATAGGTAATGGCACTTGCGACCACTACACCATGAATCAGCTGTAATGGAGACATGTTGAATATTAGCAAGCCTTTCTTTAAGTTCTTTCTTCTTATCATTGTAAAGTTTCTTCAGGTTTCGCTGCACACTTCGAGCAGATGGACCATAGTAACCGGATAACGCTAAACGAAGAAAATGCTGCATACCACTGCGTCGAAAGTCTCCAAATGAACGAGAGTCAATAATGATTGCTTTGATAGCAGCTTCATCCAATTTTTTCTTCCTTGCTGGTGCAACTTTAGCTTGATCAGGAACCTGACTTTTTGAATAAAGATCGACTTTGCCGTGAGCATTGGCTAAATGTCGACGAATGTTTGCATTTGTACCTGTTCCACATCGATAAGTTTTCGTGCATAATTCGTGCCACCCTGGTTGCCAGCGTTCTTCGTCGTGGAAACTGTTTTTCGGCGAGTAGTATTGTGCCCGGTGGTATTTCGTCGTTGAATACTTGCCGAAGTCGAAAATCTCGCACTAGCTGGTTTTTCTTTCTCGATGGTGAACTTTTGTGACTTACCCATCACTTCGCTTGATGACGATTAGGAATTTGCTGTCAGTCAAGAGAAAAAGAAGCAGTGTATTTATAAAGAGAGAGAGCACTTGGAGACAGGGGAAAAGCATGCATAAAGATGTACAACAGTGGGCAAAAACCATTCGAATCTGATTGTGATGGTTAGAAAAATCCTACTTTATCTCTTTTCATCTGTACTTCTCTCTTATGTGCATCAAGATCATTGTTAAACTCTTTGATATCGTCTTTCTCTCCTCGAAAAAGTATCTGGGAGTTTTCCCATATCAGTCTATCCATCCTAAAGATCAAACACGCGATAAGTTTGGAATTATCCGAACGATATTCAAGGGATTTTTCCAATTTGATTCGTTCGTGACAGAGACAAATGTGATTCCAAGTTCTATCTTAAATCGATGTCGATCTATACGAGTAGGCGTCAACCAATTCGTCTTGTGCACGTCTCTCCGTATGTATATTCACATCGTTCTTTCCGCTTAGTTTTCTGTTGTTCTCTTGTTTGTCTGTTCGTTTATTGTTTTATTCTGTCGCTACTTTTGTGTTAAATTCAATTCCGTTCACTTCTGATTTCTCTCACTTCCGCTAATCATCAGTTTGGAACAAGGATCATGCAGAAGGCTCGACAAAAAATCCTTATTTTTAATCGTGCGTCATAGGATCTCTCCATTGAATAAGTTTTATCCAGTTTCCAAAAACGGTTCTCGATTTTAAGATTCTCCGTGTGTGGGTACCTTTGTTGAAATCTCAACATGAAGTTCTTTTCAAGTTCTTTGAGCTTGAACTGACGAAACTTTACAGTTCTTTTGAACTTGAACTACTTCAGATGAACAGTTCTTTGAACTGAACTGGAACTGTCGTAGGCCTAGGTGCAACCAAAGAAATGACTGTTGGAATTCATCCAACATGTTCAGAAGTAAAATTTCATTTTTGACAAACATTTTTATTGATCAACTCATTTCATTTAGAATTTAACAACATTGACGGTATCGAAATCTTCTGGTCAATCGGCTACACAAGTAGGTTGCTGAGGTTAAAGTTCCCCTGGCGAAAACGACCAGGGTTTTTTTCTCAATTGTAATTAATAATATCTAACGATATTGCTTTTTTTTATGATGAATTTCTCGGCAAATCTCTTTGGAGAAGCGTTGAATTTTGATTGTCTTTATCGATGATGATATTATTTTACAAGTAAATTCTTTTCGTTTTTTCCAAGATACTTTTCACTATCATATTTATTCATTTTTCTGTGATATCTCTTCTTCATTCATTCAATTAAATCTTCTCTTTTAATCTAAATCTTTATCAAGAATATCTCCATCTTCCCTTATTCGAATGACTTCTATCGGAGAGAGAATCAGTGTTGACATGATGGAACGGGAAATGATCAGAAGAGAGAGATACTTACGACAGAAGTCGTATCTTATGCCATAACAGATTGAATAGATATTGACCAATCTCTCTACTCACAAGTAGAAGAAAAACAATCTTTCAACGACATATTTCGCATTTCATAAAGGAGGAAGAGAAAGAAAAGGGTGACGCATAAATGAAACATTCATTGTGTGAAAGAAGAAAAGAAAAAGATAAGATAATGTTGATATTGCGAACGGCTTTTTTCAGAATGAAACATTTAGAAATGACTGGAGAAAATTTTCAGGATATCTTCGTATATATAACGGGTGATGCAAAAGTCTTGGCAAGAATGTCGGAGTTCACTGTGAGCTCCCACAAGGTGCTAGAGACTTGATTCTTTTGCCATCGAATAGAGCAAAGTCCAGAGACTAGAAAAGTTTCTATTCAAAACAGACTTTGCCCTTTTCAAGCACCGAAGTTTTCGAAACGCGAAAGGCTCTAAAAATGGCTTGTCACCATTCAAATTTTAACAAGTCGTTTCCAATTTTCACAATCCGTTAATTCCGAAAATACTTTTAATGTGGTATGGTTGACTGACTGAGGGCCTATTTGGAAACAAATGTTGAGGTCAAACGCACCTTGTCTGAGGAAATTATGACTCAAATTTTAATTGGCTTAAAATGGTATTATGCAACTGTTTTCGCCTTTTTGTAATGAAAAGAATTTCGATCCAGGGTTTTATGCCAGCCGTGTTTCAGTTCGATATTCAGAATCGGTATGAAAATCTGCATCGAACCAACTTCTCAAACTGGAATTCTGTCAAAAACTTGAGAAGCAATCCCTTTTTGAAAGGTATGGATGAAAACGTTGCTCTTCCTTCGAATCAGATGGCGCCAAAGTGTTTCTATGAACATAAACTAACGAGGAATGATCCCCAACTGATAAATCGCTTTAGACATGAAAGGTGGTGGACCACAGGTAATCGATGGTCCTGAATCCGAATCTCACCTTGGTTTGTGCCGCTAGGCCTTGCAAGTATTGGTT